TTCACTATGACATTGAGTATCTGCTGCCAGAATTTCAAAATCAAATCAAGATATGTGGAGAAGCGTTAACAATAAGAGCTGTTGTTTCAAAGATCTTGAGATCTTTAGCTCCTAAGTTCGACCATATAGTGGTGGAGATAGAAGAGGGGAAAGACTTGTCGAAATTGACAAAGGAAGAGCTTCAAGGGACGCTTGAATCTCATGAACAAAGAATGAACGAAAGAGATGCAGGCAAATCAAAGAGTGATGTGGCCTTGCAGGCATATTCAGCAAAAGAGACCAAAGGCAAAGGAAAGTGTTTCGACAGAGGTAGAGGTGGCTACAGCAAATTGAATGGTAGAGGAAACCAAATTGAAGGAAACGTGTCGAATCAATGAAGACCATACCAAGGCAACCAAAGAGATGGTGTTTCAAATAGAGGAAGAGGTGGTGGTAGAAAACTTGATAAGAGTCACATTCAATGTTACAATTGTCAGAAGTATGGTTACTATTCGAGTGATTGTCCAGAAAAACAAAAGAATCAAGAAAGTGATGCAAAGCTTGCAAAACATGAAGAAGAAGAAGAAGAGATGATGTTGATGGTCACAATAAAAGATAAAGATAGATTCAAGGACCAATGGTACATGGATTCAGGATGTTTATCACATATGTCTGGAAGGAAAGACTGGTTTGTCAATATAAAGCTCTCAATAAAAAATATGGTAAAGTTTGAAAATGACAATACCCTAGCAGCTGAAGGTATTGGTGATTTTATAATTATGAGGAAAGATGGAAAGAGGTAAGTAATTTCCAATGTGTTGTACATACCAGGCATGAAGAGCAATTTGCTCAGTATAGGGCAGTTGGTCGAAAAGAATTATAAAGTGTCAATCGAAGATAAGATGATGAGAGTCGTTGATGTAAATGGGAGATTAATCTTGAAGGCTCCTATGTCTCAGAATCGAACCTTCAAGATTGAACTAAATGTGATGGAGCACAAGTGCCTTTCGACTGCAGCTAGCAGAGATGAATGTATATGGCATTATAGACTACGCCATCTCAACTTCAGATACATCAGATATTTGAAGAGAAGAAATATGGTTTCAGAATTACCAGAAATCGACATTCCAAATGAGGTATGTGAGAAATGTGTGCAGGCGAAGCAACACAAGAATAGCTTCAGCAAGGATGCAGGAAGCAGGTCGAAGGCTAGTCTTGAAGTCATATACTCTGATGTATGTGAACCAATCTAGGTGGATTTGATGGGAGATAACAAATACTTTGTTACATTCATAGATGATTTCAGTCGAAACTTGTGGACTTATCTGATCAAGAATAAAAGTGAAGTGATCGAAGTATTTGCCAATTTTAAGTCTATGGTCGAAAGACAGAGTGGTCGAAAGCTCAAAGTTTTGAGAATTGGTGGTGGTGGAGAATATGTATCAAAAGACTTCGACAGGCTATATGAAAAGGAAGGGATTGTGCATTAGGTGGTGCCACCCTATACTCCACAACAAAATGGAATTGCAGAAAGGAAGAATCGAACCATCATGAATATGGTGAGAAGTATGTTGAAAGGAAAGAATTTACCTAAAGAGTTTTGGGGTGAAGCTGTTTTGACTGCAACATACATTTTGGACAGATGTCCTACAAAGAAGCTAGAAGGAATTACTCCAGAAGAATGTTGGTCTGGTGTGAAGCCTAGCTTGAGTCATCTGAAGGTATTTGGATCTATTGCACATAGACATGTGTCAGATCAGTTGAGAAGAAAACTTGATGACAAGTCAAGTCAAATGATTCTAGTTGGATATCATTCGACAGGAGGCTACAAGTTGTTCGATCTAGTGAAAAAGCAGATTGTGATCAGTAGGGACGTGATCATAGATGAGTTTAAAGAATGAGATTGGACTGAAAATGTCAAGAAAGATTCAGTGGGAATCCTTCTTGAAGAGTCATAAACTCAAGTCGAAAGAGAAGTTCGACAAGAGGAATCAACAGATATACCAAGTACAAGCAGGCCTCAAAGAATAAGACGCATGCCTGCAAGATTGCAAGATTGTGTGATTACATTAGATGATGTAATAGATGATGAAGGTGAACTGGTACATTATGCTTTCTATGCAGATGTCGAACCCGTTAATGCAGCTGAAGCATCGAAGGATTCAAAGTGGGTGAAAGCAATGAACGAAGAAGTGAAGTCTATCGAAGACAATAATACTTGGTCACTTGTCGAATTACCTCAAGACAAGAAGAAAATTGATGTCAAGTGGGTATACAAAGTGAAAATAAATTCAAAAGGTGAAGTAACTCGACACAAAGCAAGACTTGTGGCGAAAGGATTTCTACAGAAAGAAGGAATAGACTTCGATGAAGTTTTTTCACCTATTGCTAGGATCGGAACAATCAGGTTGGTTGTTGGTCTAGCAGAAATAAACAGTTGGCACATATGTCAGATGGACGTGAAGTGTGCATTCTTAAATGGATCCTTAGAAGAAGAAGTTTATGTTAAACAACCAGTTGGGTTTGTGAAACATGATGAAGAAAGAAAGGTGTACAGACTGCATAAAGCCTTGTATGGATTGAAACAAGCTCCAAGATCTTGGAATAAGAAAATTGATAGTTTCCTAAGGGATAAGGAATTTGTAAAGTGCACAACTGAACATGGAGTATATGTAAGAAGAAGCAATAGTGAATTGCTTATACTATGTCTCTATGTAGATGATTTGTTGATAACAGGTAGTTGTAAAAGTGAGATCAAAGACTTCAAAGATGATCTCAACAAGGAATTCGAAATGTCTGATTTGGGTGAGATTTCATATTTCCTTGGAATCGAATTCTACAAGAGAAGTAGAGGTTTGATGATGTATCAAAGAAGATATGCAGGAGAAATTCTCAAGAAGTTTGAGATAGAAGAATGCAACTCAACTTCGACACCTGCAGAACCAAGACTGAAACTGTCGAAAGATGCAGATGAAGATGATGTTGATCCAATCCAATACAGAAGACTTATTGGATCATTAAGATATCTTTATCATACAAGACCTGACTTAACATATAGTGTAGGTATGGTAAGTAGATTTATGCAGAAGCCAAAGGTATCACATCTAGTAGTAGTAAAAAGGATACTGAGGTATCTCAAAGGAATTTTCGATTATGAAATTTTGTTTCCTGCAGTTGATAAAGGAAAAGAATGCAAGTTAGTGGGATACACTGATTCGAGTTGGTGTAGTGATGCTGAAGATCGAAAGTCAACAGCAGGATATGTGTTTATGCTAGGTGGTGCATCAGTTGCTTGGAATTCAAGAAAGGAACCAGTAGTGACATTATCATCATGCGAAGCAGAATACATAGCTGCTTCTCTTTGTGCATGTCAAGCAACTTGGATGGTGAACTTGGTCGAAGAGATAACATGGAAAGATCATGGAGCAATTACCATGAAGATCGACAACATGTCAGCTATTAATCTGGCAAAAAACCCAATAGCACATGGTCGAAGTAAGCACATCGAAATGAGGTTCCATTATCTTCGAGAGCAGGTAGCAGATGAGAAGATGAATTTGGAACACTGCAGAACTGAGAATCAGATTACATACATCATGACGAAGGGAGTGCAAGTAGAAGTATTCAGAAGACTAAGAGTCATGATGAACATAGATAGTTTAGACACAATGAATTAGGTGGTGTGTTAAATTGTAATTCAGTGTGTCGAAACTATGTGTCGAAAAGATTTGATTTGTTTTAGATTTAAATAGATTTGATTTAAGTCTAGAATAAATTAGATTTGATTTAGTAACAAAAAAATATTTTGGACTTTGGGCTTAGGGTGTAAGCTCAGTTATAAATAGAGGGAGTGACCCTTATTTTTGTAAGTAAGTCAAGCAAGTTGTATTCACAGAATTTGCAGTTATAAGTGAATAACAAAATTTTCACAGTTTGTAAACAGAGAGAAACTCTGCAGAAATTATTTGTCTTGTCTTCTTTTTTTATTTGTCTCATAATTAAATTGTCATTGTGGTAGAAATTTATCATAAACTTTGGTGGATTTCCAACATCGATATGTATTAGTTATGCTTTTTATTTGTACTAGGCCTGCACAACCTTTTTGATTGAGCTGCATCACTGTTGACATAGACCGACAACTCCTCATTCTTTCCTTGCTTGCAATCTCCTAGATATGCTTTTAATTAGCTTATACGAATTCCATTAAGATCTCAAAAATGTTGCTTGAGATGTGTCCACAAGGACTTTGCACCATCATAATAAGAAAGAGTAGAGTTCAATGATGGTTCAATGGTGTTGAGCAACCATGCTATGAACATTGAATGCACTTTGGTCCAATCATGTAGCTTACAGAATGTTACGAACTTGACTAAACTCCCGACACTAATCATACCTACAATTAATGTATAAACTAAGGTAAAAGTAACATCTCCAAAATATAAGTTGTTCCTATTTTCTAATAGTGTCTCATCAATAATCTCAACTCAGTGAATGTCCAAAATCTTTTAACCTCTAAGGAATTTTAATTTAGTAGAATATTCGTCAAGGTATTCGCACTAGTGTATGTCATAAAAATCCAAGAGTAAGACAATTGTACTGTCCAGTGTTGACTAAGTTGATGGATTTTCCAATGTAAATTAGATTTTAATTCCTTATTCACATATGAAATCCAACAAAAATAGTAAAAGAAATACATAATGAATTGCTATATAATATTATGTTGCTGATGGAATATGATTCAATTGTTAAAATATTACGCTGCTGGTGGAACATGACTCGGTTTTGTATTTTTAAAATTAGATTATGATTCCTTAGTCACATGAAATCCAAGAAACATAGTAAAAGAAATACATTATGGGCAGACACTTGGATTGTTCCTTGTTGTTTCCTGCATGCTGCTTCGAATAAACAACATTTTCATTTTCTTCTATAACTCATAGCATAAGTCACCTTTGAGCTAAACAAACTAGTCCCTTATCTTCTTAACCTTTGATTCATTCAACTCTTTCATTTTCTCAACAATGGCCGAGGCTTTGCTTACTGTTGTTTTTGAGAATTTGATGTCTCTTGTTCAAAATGAATTTGCTACAATTTCTGGAATCAAGTCAAAGGCTGAAAAGCTCTCAACCACTTTAGAACTCATCAATGCTGTTCTTGAAGATGCTGAGCACAAACAACTCACTAACCGTTCTATCAAGCTTTGGCTTCAACAACTCAAAGACGCAGTTTATGTGCTAGATGATATTCTTGACGAGTGTTTGTTCGAATCGGATAGACTTAAGGGAACGTCCTCTTTTAAACCAAAGAACATCATGTTTCGCCGTGAGATTGGCAACAAGTTCAAGGAGATCATAAGCAGATTCGATCAAATTGCTGACAATAAGAACAAGTTTCTTCTGCAGGTGGGTGGTTCTGTTAGGGAAAGCTCTATTGAGGTCGCTGACTGGCGCCAAACCACTTCAGTTATTGCCGAACCCAAAGTGTATGGAAGAGAAGATGATAAAGAGAAGATTGTCCAGTTTTTTCTTACTCAAGCAAAAGACTCTCACCTCCTTTCTGTGTATCCCATTGTTGGCTTAGGTGGTGTTGGAAAAACAACTCTGGCTCAGTTGGTCTACAATGACCGTCGGGTAAGTGTCAGTTTTGATATAAAAGTGTGGGTGTGTGTTTCTGAGATTTTCTCTTTGAAGATGATTATGTGTTCTATTATAGAATCTATCACAAGAGCTAAGTGTTATCGCACCAATTTAGATGTAATACAAAGAAAAGTGCAAGAACTATTGCAAGGTAAGCGATATTTGTTGGTCTTGGATGATGTATGGAAAAGAAATCAAGAATTGGAATTTGGATTAAGCCAGAACATATGGAATAAGTTGAAATCAGTTTTGTCGTGTGGATCCAAAGGTTCTTCCATTTTAGTTTCCACTCGTGACAAGGATGTTGCTGCAATCATGGGAACATGTCAAGATCATCACCTATCCGGGCTCTCTGAAGATGAATGTTGGTTGTTGTTCCAAGAATATGCATTTGGACACGAGAAAGAAAAACAAGCAAAACTTGTGGCAATAGGCAAGGAGATCATAAAGAAGTGTGGAGGATTGCCTCTTGCAGCACAAGCACTGGGAGGTCTAATGCACTCGAGAACTACTGAAAAGGAATGGCTTGAAATTAAGGATAGTGAGCTATGGACTTTACCCGATGAGAATATGATTTTGCCTGCCTTGAGATTGAGCTACACATATTTAACTCCCACCTTGAAGCAATGTTTTTCTTTTTGTGCTATATTTCCTAAAGATACAGAAATGAATAAAGAAGATTTGATTCATCTTTGGATGGCTAATGGGTTTATTTCATCGAGGGAAAATTTGGAGGTAGAAGATGTTGGCAATATGGTTTGGAATGAATTGTGCCAAAAGTCTTTCTTTCAAGACATCAAGATAGATGCTCATTCAGAAGACATTTCTTTCAAAATGCACGATCTTGTCCATGATTTAGCTCAACTTGTTACCGGGCCAGAGTGTATGATTATTAAGAACACAAACATTGATTTGTCAAGAAGCACTCACCATATTAGTTTTGACTATCGCAATTTGGTATCAATCAATAAGGAGACCTTCAGAAATATTGAGTCCTTGCGAACATTGTATGATTTAAAAACTTACGACTGCCACACGTTTTTTCCTAGCTGCCACTTCCCGAATAACAACTCTTTACGGGTTTTACTCATATGTTCGGCAATGTTAGAATCCGTTGAGAGGTTTACTCATTTGAGGTATTTGGAACTTTATGGTTTCTCAAACCTTGAACCCATATCTAACTCAATTCATACCTTGCGGTATTTGGAAATCTTGAAATTTAAAAGTTTTTGGAAAATTCGATATCTACCGAAAAACTTGAGCCGCCTACAAAATCTCAGACACCTTGTCATCGAAGATTGTCATGTATTGTCTTCTATCTTTCCTAATATTGGAAAGTTATGTTGCCTAAGAACATTAAGTGTATTCATTGTTCGTCGGAAGATAGGATACAGCTTGGCAGAGCTACGTGATCTACAATTGGGAGGAAAACTGAGCATCAAAGGCCTAAAAAATGTTGATAGTTCATCTGAAGCTCGAGAGGCCAATTTAATGGGTAAAAAAGACCTCCAAGAATTATGCTTGTCATGGAGCAAAGGTACTGAGGGACCTAGTACTAGTGCAGAGGAAGTAATCGAGGCACTTCAACCTCACTCAAATCTTAAGAGGTTGAAAATAGATCTCTACGACGGAATTAGCTTACCAAGCTGGATCAGTATGTTGAGTAATTTAGCTTCTCTTGAACTTTCTTCTTGTGACAATTGCGTGCTGCTTTCACCACTTGGGAAACTACCATCTCTAAAAAAAATCCGTTTGCATCAGATGAATAATGTGCTATATATGAATGAAGATGAACCTCACCATGGTTTGGAGGAGACGTTTTTCCCATATCTGGAGGAACTCTACTTAGATGGGCTACCAAACTTAGAGCGATTGTTGAAAGTGCAAAGAGGAGAGATTTTCCCCCATCTTTCTAGTTTTACCATCATCAATTGCCCCAAACTTGTGTTGCCAAACCTTTCATTTGTTAAATACTTATTTGTAGATGGATGTAACAAGGAGTTACTGAGGCAAATCTCTAGTTTCTATGATCTTACCACTCTTCACCTTACTAAAAATGAAGATGTGACCTCCCTCCCTGAGGACATGTTGAGAAACCTGACTTCACTTCAAACTCTAACAATATCTGATTTCTTGAACTTGATGGAATTACCAAATGAACCCTTCAACCTTGCTTTGGAGCATCTCTGTATTACTCGTTGTGGCGAGCTTGAGTCTTTGCCAGAGCTAATTTGGGAAGGTCTGCAATCCCTTCGAACAATCGATATTATTGATTGTGAAGGATTGAGATCCTTGCCTGAAGGTATCCGACACCTCACTTCACTTGAGATTTTGACTATTCAAGGTTGCTCAACTTTAAAGAAACGATGTGAGGAGGTACTAGGGGAGGACTGGGACAAGATAGCGCACATTCAAAAATTACTGATTTGGTAGAGTGGAGAAACATCTACAGTTTTGGTGAGTATTAATACAACTTGTTTGTTCATACATGCTTCCATGACCATGATCTTCGCTTTGTTCATTCCTCATCTTTCGATGGAATTTTTCATAATGTACTAACAATTGTTCGACTGTTTACATAATATTTTACCTATGTTGTAACTTTGAGCTTCCACTTGCAAGCATGTTTACCTACTGCATACATGTTCCATACTTCTGCACTTCCAGAACAATTTTTTCTACTTCTACACACGTGATTAAACATCTCACCACAGTTATAGTAACATTATTGTGGACCTTAAACATCTCACCTCATTCATTTCCTTGTTTCACTTCAAGCTTGTTATATTTAACAGAATGTTTTCATCTTCTTTTGGAAGCAGCTAAGACATTTCATGCTTTACAGACCGAGAAGAAAGAGTTACAATGATGGAAAAGAAGCTAAATTATGAAGTTCATGAAGGAATAAAGGAGATTGAACAATGGGAAACTCAGGCTACATCACTCTACGCCGAACTGCAGATTTCTGTTGTTTTTTATTTACTTATTTCTCCATCAAAACATATTTCATTACTATGTTTAGATGACAGTTTTGTAGCACATTCGGTTTTGTGCTTCGAAACATATTTTATTGTTGTTTCAAAAATTCTGTCTCGTTTCCTTACTATGTTCATTGAAATCTTGAGCATTTTAGTATATAAGACAGATTCATGTTTGTGTTTGCAATCAATATCAATATTCTGTAATCATAATTAGTATATTATCGGTTAATGAAGGTTTTAGAAAGGAACATAGAAAGATCATTTTTATTTGTATTGTTTGTGTATATAGATGCCGCAACAGGCAAAATGTGCCAAAAACTTCCTTCTAGTGAGGTTCCTACTATTCTCAACTGTCATGGTAAGAGCTGGGACATGGCTTATAATGGGCAAAACAAATACAAGCAGTTTGATACAATTGGCTGGAGAAACTTTGTTAAAGATAATAATTTGAAGGTCGGAGACATGTGCGTTTTTGAGCTTAAGGAAAACAGTGAAGAGAAAATCGTCTTTGAAGTTCAAATTCTTAGAGGTGAATTTCCTGGGACTGATGAATGTGAAGAAGATCAGATTTTTGTATCCGGATTTTCTGGTACCGGTGAGAATGATTCACCATATGTCATCGACTAATATTCTAATGGCTTGAATACCACACCTTCCTTTGTGGGATGGTTCATGGTTACAAGATGTTTTTGTTATGGAATGGTTAGAGCATAGATTTTGGTGTTAGGATTAAGAAATAAGTAAATAAAAAACAACAGCCACATCAAAATATTAAATAAATGTTGAGAAGATAAATTAACAGATGAAGACAAATGGCCCAGCAGTTGGGCGCTTGAAGCATGGGAGAAGTTTCTTGGGTTTGAACCCCTGTGAAACTATTTTTAAGAAATTTCGCAGGCCTTTACATCAAAAGCTTCCAAAATGATCACCAAAATCATTACGAAAAATGCCTCCACACCCAGCCAGATGAGTACCTGAGGCATCATCTACATTTACTTTAGGTAAGCCATCCATGTTGAGGAGGAATCCAAAACACCTCCCGAACCAACTGGGTTCGAGGAGGATGAATATCCACTCTGAAAATTTTCAGAATAACAAAATCTGAAATGGAAGAGTTGGCTTTACTTTTGGTCATATTACCAGACATAGCCGTGGAAGAAAGAACATTGGCACAATGCTGCTGCCACTGAACTTTCTGATTTTGAAATCTGAATAAATTCCTTGCCTTCCATATGCTATAAACCGAGTTCAAGATATCCGCCACAAAAACAACACGGCACTGATCTGAGTGCACGTCATCAATGATCTGAATACGGTCTGCTAAGTTGTCATTACGGGAGTTTAAATTCAACTTATCACTAAGCCAGTTCCAAACACTTTTGGCATAACCACAATCGAAAAAAAGATGATGAAGATTCTTTGCATTTTCAAAATAAAGGTTGCAAACAGAAGGCATGTTCTAGCTGCGAATCACAAGGTTGTCCCCCGTTGGCAACTTTCCATGAGTCAAACTCCAAAACAGAAGTGACTGAGATGGAGGGATATCATTATTCCACAGCCTGCTCCCTCAAGACCGGTGATTAAACCTGCTGCAGTACTTATACGCAACTTTGAGCGATAGATGACCATTTTCTATGGACTTCCAGATCAGCCTATCATGCACTTGTTGATTAACAATAACATCATCACACAATTGCACAGGGCAAGAACAGAAGTTAAGAAGGAAGAACAATTCTATTATCAATAATATAATCCTTCAAAAACGTACCAGAAGACTCATGAGAATACCCCGGGATTAGGTCCATTAGAGCTTGACCACACCAATTATCTGCCCAAAAAATTAATACTCTCGTTGTTTCCCACCAACCACAAAGAATTGCTATCCATTGTAGATTGAAAACTTTTGCTCCCTTCCCATATGGAAGAGAAAACATGATAATTCACACACCTACCTCTTTTAATGACTCTGGCCTTTAGAATCTTAGCCCAATTGTTAGAAATTTGGGTATGATAATCCTGGATAACTTCGAAGAATTGTGTTCGTACACTTTCCGAACAAAGTATTTCGACCCTATTCTTGCCTGGGTTCACGAAATCTTTGTGGGGATAATTCTTGAAGAACAATATGTTTCTGGCAAAAGAAAACTGATTACAAATGTAGAGAGAAAGTATTGTTTTTCGTTCGTATCTGAAACCGAGGTCAAATGACTCCTTATATAGGAGATCAATAACTGAAACCGAAAAGACACATCTGTTCGGAAAAACGGTTATGTCGGTTGGGGACCGAAAAGACACACCTGTTCGGAAAAACGGTTATGTCGGTTGGGGAAAAGGATTCAAAATTTTCGAACGGGGCGCTGTCCCGCACCCCGCCCGCTGACCAGGTCAGCGGGACCCCAGCCAGGGGCTCCGCCTCTTGGACCCCAACGGGGCGCTGCCCCGCACCCCGCCAAGGGCTTCGCCCCTTGGAACCCCAACGGGGCGCTGCCCCGTACCCCGCCAGGGGCTTCGCCCCTTGGAACCCCGTTTCAATTATTCATATTCAATTATGCATTGGCTCGACGAGCGTGCACTCCGCACTTCCCTAACTCGTTTCCGAACTTAACGAATAATTGAATCGACCTTTAGTAAATCACATTACTACTAAAATACATTGGTGATACTAAAATCACCAACACCAATCCTCATGGCCCTTATTAATGCTCCAACATTGTCTCAAATCCGAAGCCTCATTCAACGCCCTCAAAGATTTAAGACGCAAACCCCCATCCTTTACCTCTTTACAACAGTTCTTCCACGCAACCGTAACCAACTTCCGTTTGTTAATATCTGCGCTTCAAATAAAGTTTCTACATCAACCTTCCACCAATTTGATTAGACTAATTGGCCAAGAATATGTCATAATAGACTAAATCATCATACTTTGAATTACCGAACGAACCAACTGAACTCTGCCTGCAATAGATAACATACTTGCTTTCCGCGCTGCCAGCTTAGTTTTAATTATGTCCACCAGGGGCTGAACGTACTTAGCTTTGGGACGACGACCTTTAAAAATAGGAACTCCCAAGTAAATAGAAGGAAGGTGACCCAGACAAAACTCAATCCTATTAGCAAGCATGCAATGTCTATCATGTGACATAGAAACAACAAACATAAAAGATTTACTAGGATTGCAAACTTGACCAGAGCACTCAACATACAAGGAAAACATGATTATAATCAAGTCTAAAGAAGAAGAGCAACCCCAGGTGAAAATAATTAGGTCGTCTGCGTACAGCGTATGATTTTCATTACGGTTTTAGGTAGACATTGTTTATGCTAAAACTCTAGTAGTCATTCTTACGGTTCATTTTACCTTTTTGCCGAGAACGTGGAGATTTGATTCACTCACATACCACCTTAAAATTTTAGATAGATAAATGATATGTATCTCACAAAGGGAGTTAAGTCTTCAACTTTATATCAATACTCCTAGTATAAAAAGAATATGTTTATTTCAAAACCAAATATTTATATATTTTTTAGTTTAAATGTTAACATTTTATCATAAAAAAAATTAATATTTTTTCAAATCAATTTTAATTTTTCTTGTTTCATGTCATAATATCATATATATTTTTTATTAAGTATATGATATTTGTTTCTTTAGAAAAATATAAGAGAAATACTTAATAGATTGAATTAATTATTATAGAAGTGGTCAAAAAATTTCATTCTAAATCAAACACAAATTTAAAAAATTAAAATTAAATAAATAAATAAATTAATATTGTAAATATATCCTGTAAAATTAAATGATAATGTTAAAATATATTGAATAAATGATATATTTTAAGATTTAAGAATAAATATTTATCTATTTTGACCACTTAGTAGATTTGATAAATATATGATGTGGCGCTTATATATGGTTTTTTAATTTTTTTAATTTTATTTTGATGTAGATATAAAATGTGTTTTAGATATAAAATAAATAATAAATATGTGTTTTTTATAAGAAATTCGTTTATTCACCAATTATAAATTTCTCGTGCTTTTTATAAAAATAAAAATCTGTATACTTTATAGTATAAATGTTAATATTTTATTATAATAAAAACTAATATTTTTTTAAATCAGTTTTATTTTTTCTTATATCACGTTATAATATTATATATCATTATCTATTAAGTATACAATATTTATTTATCTAGAAAAATATAAGAGAAATCATGTTTAATTATTATAGAAATGGTCAATTTTTTTCTGTTTTAAGTTAAAAACAAATTTGAAAAACTAAAATAAAATTGAATTAATTAATTAATATTTTAAATGTATCCTTAAAATTAAATGATAATGTTAGAATATATTGAACACATGATATATTTTAAGTTTTAATAATAAACATTATCTATTTTAGTCTCTAAGTAGATTTGATGAATATATAACGTGACACTTACATATTTTTTATTTTAACATGGATTTTCTATGTTGGCCTTTTATTTTAAATATAAAATAAATAATAAATTTGTGTCCTTCATAACAAATTTTTTTATTCATCAATCATAATTATCTCATTTTTTTATAAAAATAAATATTTATATCATTTTTTAGTATAAATGATAATATTTTTTCAAATTAATTTAATTTTTTTCTTGTATCATGTTATAATATCATAAATCATTTTCTATCAAGTATATGATATCTTTGTTAAAAAAATCTATTATCTATCTATAAAAATGATAGTTCCTGGAAATTACCACAACACCACAGCTGAAAAAATTCATTGTTGGTCTATTGTATTGGGATAAAATTGGAAACTCCAAAATATCTTGCACCACATTGTTTTGAATCTGATGTGGCACTCCCACAATTTTTCACCACATTTTCAATTTTTTTTTTCCAAATAAATCCCACATATTGTGAGAAACCCAACCAGGGGGAATACCAATTCATTATTCCTTGCCATTCATTGTGCCTCTCTTCCTCTTCCCCATGCCAAACCATTATGCCTCTCTTTTCATTTTCTTTGAGAACAAAACACCTCAATGTATATTTGAATTTTCTTCTGACTCTTTAGTTAATCGAGACAAAAACTTCCTTCCTCTCTCATCTTAATTCTCACGTAAATTTTCTTTCTGCTTTTCATGGTTCTCAACCTCCTTACTTCTTCCTCATCATCGTTGTTCACTCTTATCATAAAAAACAAAAACAAACACACACTAAATCTGGAAAAAAGAAGAAGACTGATACGCTTTCTCTCTTATCATGAAGGGAGATTTACATAGTGAACTCTTTCAATGAGAGAAGGGGTTAGTATGTTCATGGCACAATGAGTGATGTAAGAAGAAATAAAGGACGTGATTCAAAATGCGTACATGTATGGAACTGGTTTGTGTTTAGAGTGGGGCTACTGAACCAAAGTGTTGCTATAAGAATACTATAGGGGATATTGGTTGATTCGAGTTGTTTGACTACACGTGGAATCCCCATATGTTGTATTTTGGAAGAATGATACATCTCGATATGTTGCTTGCCATTTTCGTCAAGCATTCTTTTCAATGGTGCAGAGGTACGACATCATTTATTTTATTGTTTTCAACTTGCATGAACATGGTGCTTTTACTATGAACATCAGCTTTTTATTGTGATTGTTTGTTTTTAGGAATTGCAACCTTTGAGATGGAGTATGGACATTGGGATGATGAGAGAAACTGGAAAATCTCAGAAATGAGATTTGCTTTAAAATCGCATATTAGTGACATAGACCTCAGGATTCTGGTGGATGGTATGATGAACCACTATACTGAAATCTATCGCATGAAATATTTTCCTTTTGTTAAGATTGTCACTGAATAAAGTTTGGCACACTATTATAAGCAGTGGTATCCTTGAACACATGATATAGAGTAACAAGTGTGTTTCATGGAGAGATTGAATATCCTTTAATCTGTAAAAATTAATACTAAATTATCTGTTTCTACGTGCATTGCAGAGACTCCAATTTTTTGTTTCTTTGGTATCATAACTTTTGTTATCAAATCATGTACATGGCACCAGTGGTTGTTGGATTCCTACTTCCTGCTTCAATTATAATGGAGGAAAATATTTTTGGTATTACAATTCAACTTGCTAGAGAAGATTAAAGTATTGTGTAGTTACTTATCTTCAACTTAGCACTTGCATATTTGATTATAGTAATGAAGCCAAGAAGAGAAGCAAAAGAGCTATTTAACTCAAATTATCAACACTGCTTCTAACAACTTCTTAACCTGCTCAAACATCAACAACCTGCTCAAGCATCAACAAGGAATGTTTCATTTCAAAATTTTAAAGATCGATCTTTGATTCATTGATGATCTTATTTAAATGGGATTGTGATTTTTTATGGTTTTTGATTGAGATTCGATTTTGTTTTCAAATTTGTTATAGAATTATGGAGATTTGATTAGAATTTGATTTGATTCATCATCTTGGAGTTCAAGTTTATACATATAGAAAGATTAGATGTAATAAGGAATATTTTATATAATAGGCTGCTATGCTAATTTAAGGGTGCATTTGGAAAAGCTTTTGATGTATTTTTCTTATGGTTAATAGATATAAACAGTAGTAAATAATAACAATCAATAATACTAATGATAATCTGACTATTTAATGATATAATACTTATAGACAAAAACTAAAAACTGAAATAAAAATAAAGAAATGGTTATAAATTAAAACAATAAAATAAAAGAAAAATATGAAAGAACTTAAAACTGAAATTATTGATTTATCATATTTGATGATAATTTTCTAAAATGAATTATAAATTTTTTTTTAACTAGCATTTTTTTAAGATATGAATTATGTAAGATTTTTGTCAACATCCCAAATTATATATTATTAACATTGTTTTATTTTAATTTGATTTTTGTTTATTTGTGGACTTTTATTAATTAAAAAATAATCAGTTAAAAAATTCGTTTTTAGCGTGGACGTTTATTTTGCTCTTTTTTTTTGTTTAAGTTGATTTTTTATTATTTTAAAATAAAATAAAAATTAAATCCTTTTTAATTTATTTGTTGATTTCATTAAATAAAATATTAAAAATATTAAGTTTAAAAAAATTTAAAAAAATTTAAAAAAAATATTTGAAGGATGGGGCACTCCTTCCACCTTTTGTAAGATAACTTTGTTTTTATTTTATTTTATTTTATTTATTTTTTATTCATTTAATTTATTTTGTTAATAAATTTTAATTACTAATCAATAAATAAATCATAATATCTTTGAATTTGATTTTTGTATTCCTTTTAAAAAAATAATAACAAAATAATAATCAGACTTTTTAGAACCCTGACTGTCCCTTTTCCTTTTGTAGGATTTTCTTTTAAAAAGTAAAATATTATAGAAAAATAAGTTTTGTGTTACTTTAAGATAGAAACAGAATATTAGAAGAAAAAAAACTAACAAAATAGATTTAAGTGTTATTATCAAAATAATGTCCATAAAATTGAGTATGATGATTTATTCAATTTGGAGAAAATTTGAGATAATTTTAAACTTTTGATTTGTTGGATTTATAGTTTTTCATATTTTTTCTCATATTATTATTTATTTTTCGCTTTTATTTCATGTAAATGTATATTATTATTTAAAAAAATTTGTTTACCAATAAAGTTGTACTTTTTTATAGTAAAACAATTATTAATATTTTTTTTTGTCTCTGGAAATTACCACAACACCACAGCTGGAAAAATCCATTGTTGGTCTATTGTATTGGGGTAAAATTGGAAACTCCAAAATATCTTGCACCACATTGCTTTGAATCTGATGTGGCACTCCCACAATTTTTCACCACATTTTCAAAAAAAAAATTTCAAATAAATCCCACATATTGTGAGAAACCCAACCATGGGGAATACCAATTCATTATTCCTTGCCATTCATTGTGCCTCTCTTCCTCTTCCCCATGCCAAACCATTATGCCTCTCTTAATCAAAATTCAAATTCAAATGGAACACCAAAAGTTTTTCACTCTTCCTTCAATCCTTCCCCAATGTGTACTTATGTATAACCTCCATTGCTTAACACCTTCCAGTCGTTTTCATTCACGCAAGCCATTGCTACAGACGTCCCTTTCGTTTTCATTCACGCAAGGCTCTCTGTGCTGTTACGAATCGCTGCGTGACGATGGCGCGCCCAATCGAGTATATCAGTAGCATTGACGATTCGAAGGATTTGTGGAAGGTTGCTGTTAGATGTAAGCATCTGTGGTCTGTTACCAGTTCTCAGAATAGAGAGCACTTAGAGCTTATTCTGTTTGATTCAAAGGTATAATACAATCTAAACGTTTCTGCTTTGCCATTCTGATTTTGTTGTAACAGTACTGGTATATGATACTGATTTCAAGATGTTTGTATTTTCACAGTTGGATTTGATTCAAGCCATTGTGCCATCTTATTTGGTATCAAAATTCAAAACACAGCTTGAACTTGGTTGTTCCTACATAATGCAGAATTTCAAAGTTTCCAGCAATGATTTCTCCTTCAAATCCACTGATCATAAGTTCAAATTGATTTTTTGTGGTTCAACTTCCGTCAAAAAGGTCCAACTTGCTGACATACCTCTGAACCACCTCAAGTTAATTGGAATAAATGCTATTATTGAGGGTAAATACAGAACGAATTTGTTATATGGTGAGTTATATTTTTACTGTTATAATAGAACGCATTGTATTGTGACTTCTTCGTTATACATAACTGTCTGTGGTGAACTTTTGTGCAGATATAATTGGTGGGGTTACTGAAATATCCCAAGCCCAGATAATTCCTGATAACAACAAAAGCAAGGTTGTGTTTTCATTAACTGATCTGAGGTAGGTGTTTCATTTTGTTTGTTAACATTGATGCTGATAAATATAAAAATCTAACATGTTCATGTTGTTTGTTTTGTAATTCCTGTCAATCAGCAAACATCATGTGCAATGTACTCTTTGGGGTAAATTAGATGTGCAACTGAATGAGTATTATACGACTCATAAGGCTGATGGTAGTATTGTTATCCTACTTATGAATGCAAGGATCAAGGAACCTCAAGGTATGCTATGTGACTATTTCTTATTATATCCAATTATTATATCCAACTTTAAGTGTTGTCATTTATAAATATCTCAATTTTCAGGAAATTATCCTTTAAATGTATCAAATGCTTGGAACGGCACAAAACTGCTCATCAATGATTTGTCTATTGAGGAGGTTAAAAACCTTAAAGAGAAGTAAGTGATTTTATTATGAAGTTATGAATTAGCAACCTATGATTACTAACAGCCTGTTTTCATTCTGATCTATGTACATCAGACTTAAAGATGATCTGTCGACGCTCTCATCCTCGAGCATGCAAATGGAAACCACAAATACCTCTGTTTTTTCTGATTTGGACAAATTTGTATGGAAAGCTGAAGTGTTGAGTCTGTCTGATATTGCATATCTGCAGACTGTAAGTTGCTCTTTAATACATGACTGTCTTAGATTGAGGAATTACACAGACTGGGTTCTAATCCATTTTTTGAGACATTGCCCCATCTTTCTGTTTCAGGAAACTACATGTGTGACTGTTGCGACTCTGGAGAAGTTTGAATGTGGGCAGTCAGGATGGTATTATGATGGATGTAGTGAATGTACCAAAAGTGTGACTTTGAAGGATGGAAAATTCATGTGTTATTCCAAACACATCAGTTCTGAGCCAGTCCCAAGGTAACTTCTAAGTATTGCATATCAATGATTATCATCATATAACCAAACGCTTCATTACTGACAATTTCTTATTTTGATCACGCATGGTACAAATTTAAGCTTGAAGTGCTTGCCTCCGATGGAAAGTTAAAATACAAGTTCGTATTTTGGGATGTAGATTGTGTAAAGTTGATTGGGAAGTCCGCCCTTCAGATGAAGTTGGATTTGATGGAGGTATTTTCCATTTGGCTAATATGTAAGTTAGATAATTACCACATAAATAACATATATTGTTTTAATCATTTAGACTGGAGATTTTGATCCCCTTGAATTCCCTTATGAACTTGATGTGATGCTGAAGAAGGAGTTGGCTATAAGAGCAATGTTTCAACCAAACAAGGTCAGTCTTTCTGTAATCGGATTTAAGGCAGATGAAGTGCTACGTACCAAAATAAAGGAGAGGTTTAAATGTGAAGAGGTACTGCTGTACTCATGTTTTACTGTTGTTAAAATCAGTATCATGTGCATTGGATTTTTTTAACAATTGTTTAAAACTTGCAGCACACTTCAAAGATTGTCGTCTCAACAGATGACACTCGGGATGATATGCATACAACATCGGTATGTTTTAAATAGGGACGACCTATTACTCTTGCCATCACATTTTGAACAATTGTCTAACGTTTATTTCTTGCGTTTTTTAACTTGCAGTGTACTCCGACCATCACCACCTCGGAAAAACAGTCTCATGATGATCCACAAACAGTTTCAGTGCGTCTTTTTTTAGCTTTCAACATTAACAAATTAGCCTATTAAACAATGTCTTACTTCCTTTTTTATGCTACTGATTTTGTAATGACTCTTTAATGGCAGGATCAGTTATCAATCAATGCAGATTATGACCCTTCAGTTGCCAACTCTGCACTTACACCGTCAAAAAGATCTATTCCTGATACAGTTGAAGAACTCGACAGTGCCCAACTATCGTTCACCAAGATAATAAGGCACATCAAGCTGGAGAAATGATGCAGTCAATTATCGTCGACGATTTATTTTTACTTTAAGCTGTTTTGGACAACATTGCACACCTTATTTTGATTGATGTAATGAAATATTTCTGGTTTACATTTTGTTTATTCT